TTTCTGCCACTCCTACAGTGTTGCCCTTCTTTGTGTGGACCAGCATGGTTTTCCACCACATCTGCGTGTTAGTCAGTATAAACGGGGAAAAGAGAAGTGGCAGTGGGTGGGCAGAGTTGGGGAATGGGAACAACTCCGAAGCTACACACACTATTTCTCATAATATCCTCGCTGCAAGAAGCCGGGGGAATGTATTATAGTCAAGTCTTTATTCTGGTGGCCTTTTGTCCGGCTAAAAATTGGGGGCTTTATCACTAGAGTGGAAGGGAAGAAGTTTGGGGAAGCAATCTCTGCCACATCAAATAAATGAGGAGTATTTCACACTCATTTGATTGGGGGGAAAAAAATTAAACTTTTGAGAACAACTGTTGGCAATGATGTGGAGCAAAGTGCATTCTCATATGCTGCTTGTGAAGCATTCAGTCAGTTTGGAAAACAACTTGACAATATCGAGTAAGGTGGAAGACGTGCTCCTCTCTGAGGAAGCATTCTGTTTCTGGGATGGACTGTGAGGAAACTCTTCCACATGTGCACAAGTGGACATGTACAAGAATGAGTTCGATATCATTTGAATTATCAAAATAATTGGGAGAATTTTAATGTCCATTAACAGGCGAGTGCATCAATTGTGGTATAGTCATATGATGGAATTTTACACAAGAGTGAAAACGAAGAACTGCATGTGTCACCAATGGATAAATCTCAAAAAATGTAATGCTAAGGCACAAAAGCAAGTTGTGGGGGGATATGTGCCATATGCTATTTAATAAAGTTTTAAAATGCCAAACACCTCTCTCTACATTGTTTACAGAAATACATATACTGTGTTTGGAGGCATCTGACCAGAGGACCCCCTTTTCCTGCCTAACATCTGAACTAGTTGAGAAATCAATCACGAGTCGGTAGATGAAAAATAAACTGTCACCTGCATTACTGACAAAGGATAGCGTGAAGGCTATGGCTCACTATGAAACTGAAATGGTCTTGCTAACTCCCTACTGCCAGTGGAGACTTTAGAGCAGTTTGCCCATAGAAAAGCTTGCAGAAACTGGTTTGGCTCAGTGGATAGAGCGTCGTCGGTCTGCGGACTGAGGGGTCCCGGGTTCGGTTCCAGTCAAGGGCATGTGCATTGGTTGCGGGCACATCTCCAGTGGGGGGTGTGCAGGAGGAGGCTGGTCGATGATTCTCTCTCATTGACGTTTCTGACTCTCTGTCCCTCTCCCTTCCTCTCTGTAAAAAATCAATAAAATATATTAAAATAATAATAATAATTAAAAAAAAAACAAACCTCTTATCTTCAGGACATAGTATTTGAATAGACCTACCAGCCCAAAACCCAGAACCAACAACTGTCACTCACCAATCGAGTGTGGGGCAAAGATCCAGGAGGGCTTAAGTAAAATCTCTTCTTAAGGAACCAGAGGAATGGGGTCGAGGTATCCTAACACATATGAGTTTAAAATATTCATGGGGATTGTAAGAACCAAATTCAACCTAATCCTTGCTCCTAATCCTCAGTCTAGTTTGTATCGGAATCATCTGGAGGGCTTGTTAAAACATAAATGGCTCAACCCCACCCTGAGAGTTTCTGATTCAGTGAACCTGGGATAGGGTCCAGAAATTGGCATTTCTGTGGCTCAGTAGTTGAGTATTGACCTATGAACCAGGAGGTCATGGTTCAATTCCTGGTCAGGGCACATGCCCAGGGTTTCAGGCTCAGTCCCCAGTAGAGGGCTGAGATCTAATTATATTTTTAGTGTTTTATTTATTACTAAAAGCATGGTGCACAAATTCATGCATCAATAGGTCCCTAGTCCTAGCCTGCAGGATCAGGCTGAAACTGACTCTCCGACAACCCCCAAGGGGTCCCAGATTTCAAGAGGACACAGGCCAGGCCCAGGGACCCCACCAGGGCATGATCAGGGCCGGGGAGGGATGTAGGAGGTTGGCCAGCCAGGGAGGGACTTTGGGAGGGCTCTAGGGCACATGTGTCAAACACAAGGCCCGCGGGCCAAATCCGTCCTGCCAGGCCTTGCAATGTGGCCCGCACTGCGCTGTCATCACTGCACTCTGCTGCGTTTCCATCACAATGACAGTTTATGACTGTTCAGTAAACCATTCGGCCCGCGATTTAGGCTGGATTTTAGATTTTGGCCCCTTCTCTGACTGAGTTCGACACCCCTACTCTAGGGCATGTCAGGCCCATCTTGCTCAGTCCTGATCAGCCAGACCCCAGCATCAAGCTAACCTACTGGTCAGAGCATCTGCCCCTAGTGGTCAGTGCACATCATAGCAATTGGTTGCGCTTTGATTGGTTGAATGGACGACTGGACACTTAGCATATTAGGCATTCATTATATAGGATTTTTTGGTTAATCCTCACTCAAGAATATTTTTCCCATTGATTTTTAGAGAGAGTGAAAAGGAGGGAGAGGATGAGAGAGAGGGATAAGGAGAGAGATATCAATGTAAGAGAGACACGTTGATTAGTTACCTCCCACATACACATATGCCAGAGCCGACCTTTGACCAGAAATCAAATCCATGATCCTTTGGTACTCTGGCTGATGCCCCAACCACTGAGCCATGCCAACCAGGACAGTGTTTTATTTCTTGAGCTGAGTGGTGAGTGTTATTATTTTCTACATTATCTTTTTAAATCAAACTAATGAAATATTTTCACATACAAAAGTAATGGAAAATGCTGCCTTCATACTTACAAATCATCTGATTACTCAGACTCTGGAGGAGTAACATTTTAAATTCAGATTGATTTGGAATAAGTATGTTAAATATGTTTTTATAGGTTAAATAATTAAGAATGTAGAGCAATAATTGTTACTCCTTGTTACAGTTTTGTAGGTCTTTCAAATTGTTTCTATACTTACTCAAATCACTTTTAATCAGAAAATGTTATTGTGTTTCCCAATAAATTTTTTAGCTTAACATACTAAAACCAATTTTGTTTAAAAAATTTAATGTTTTCCTTTGTTTTATTTTATTACTTATTTTTATTGAGGTACAAGTGACATATAGCATTATATTAGCTTTTGGTATACAACAAAATGATTTGATATTTCCATATATCACAAAATGATTACCACAATAAGTAGTTAACATTCATTACCACATATCATCATGAAATTTAGTTTTTTGGGATGAGAACTTTTAAGATCTACGCTCTTAGCCACTTTCAAATAAGCAATCAATATTAGTAACTGTAGTCACAAAGCTATACCTTCTTTGTTTTACATGTAACTTGTAATTCATGTAAAATTTAGCAGTTTGAATTCTCAGGACCAGAGAATATGTGTGTTTTTTTAGTTTTCTAGAAACTCCTCCCTTTTAATTTTAATTTGATCTGGTGAAGAATTTGTTTCTCTTTGTTTTTTGACCAATAGCTTTTTAAAACACCCCTTGTCTTACTGATTGTGTTATAACATGCTCAGCTATGCAGATAACTGTTAAAAAATGGTTTACCTTTGAACATTTTATGAGCTCTAGAACTTAAGTGGCATGCAAGTTTGTATAGCAATTAAGTATAGAATATATTTCTCTATCAGTTAGCCATTCACAAAGAATTTTTAGGAGCATTACAGCCAAATGATGGCCACTTGCATGGGCTTTAAAAGGTAAGTCCTTGGTGGGCATATGTTATATCCTGCACATCCCAGCTGCATCTACCAGCCCCAAGTAACCACAAGTCAAACTTTTGGATAAGTAGTGAAAATCTTTGTCAGTGCTGGAGAGTGTGTAGCTAGATGTTCCTTCTCATTCTTCTCTGCAAGAATGTAATTAATACCATCCGACCTTTCTGAAAAACAGTGTAACAGAAGGTATCAGAAACTTTAAAAGTACTTATACTTTTTACCCAAGGAATTCCTCTTTCAAGGCTACCCAAAGAAATGATCTGAAATACCAACAAAGATTCACTGTGCACAAAATGCTCATAATATCATTACTTAAAATAAGGGGATGCTTAAAGTGATGCAATGATCTAAATAATTCAATTATAAGAAAATAGTCAAGTCATTTTTGGGTTATTATGCTGTCTTAAGTTATTGTTTAATATAAAATTTGAATATGTATACTGTGTATATTTATTGCCTTGTATTCATAATATGGGTTTAAATATATGCATAGAAAATGACCAAAGATTATCTTTTAATGATGGAACCATGCATGATTTTATTCTTTATACTTTTCTGTATTTAAGAAAATATAAAATAAAACTTTGTTTTAAAAAGATTCTTTTTGCAAAATAAATATAGTGTCATATAGTATGAAAGCTAAGTCCATATATGCAGGGTGTCCTCCAAAATGTATATACACTTTAACAGCTGATAGCTCAATTTTGAAAATGAAATGTATTTTAATAAACACTGCCTTTAATTATTCAAAGTGCCTTTTTTGGGGGGAGACACCCTATATTTTCTGACTTTCTAGTTCCAATTTTCACATAAAATGCTTTAACTTATCTAACAAACAATTTAAAATATATTTAAACAAAACCACTATTTAAATCTCTCTTCATCACACCATTCAGAAATTTTGGTGTCTTTTTAAAGCAAATTATTCCTCATAATAATGAATTTTGTATATAATTTATAGATATCATTATAAATTTTGCTAGCCTCCTGCAATTAAAAAATTTTATTGGTTTTTTTCTTAAGTAGCTGTTTAAATACTTTATTGTATAGATTGCCTAAAGCAGTGTTTCTCAACCATTTTTTTCATCACCTCCCTAAGGAGCCTTTGCAGACATTTTTCCCTAATTGCCCCCACCCCATGAAATTTTAATATCTGCTTATATACTGTATGAATATCCGTGGTTTATGTGTAGAGTCAGATGTTTTTTTCAATCTTTTAAGAGCCAATTGTCACCCCTTTGGTGGCGATATTAGCTCCCTTTGAGAATGTGTGACCTAAAGGAACATTATGAAAAAAAGTTACATTAGCTTTTAAAATGAGTCTCAAGCCCACGTGTTTTGTTTTTATAGCTGCCTGCCTCTCAAACATCACACGGTGACCACTCCAACACTACTACTGTGGGGAGACAAAGACGCATTTATGGAGGTTGAAATGGCTGAAGTCACAAAGATTTATGTTAAAAACTATTTCAGGCTAACTATTTTGTCAGAAGCCAGTCACTGGCTTCAGCAAGAACAACCTGACATAGTGAACAAATTGATATGGACATTTCTAAAAGAAGAAACCAGGAAAAAAGATTGACTTGTCTTTATCTGCTATGGGAGGTCGGTAATAAAATCTCTAAATATATTTTTTAAATTGTTCATTAACTTCTGTGAAATTCACTAGGAAAACATTGCTTTCACATGCTTTATCATCAATAAATATCCTGACAACTATTGCTGGAAAAAAAAAAATCTGAGAATGTGTGTGAACTGGTAATATAATGTCGATTTTCCTCTATTGTATTTTACACAGAAAACCACCTGCCTTAAAATGCACACACTTGTACAAAAAGCAAGTTGGGTAGAGTGGCTAGTTTTGGTTTCTTGCATCCTCCCACCCCCAATATATTTTTATTGGTTTCAGGGAGGAAGGGAGAGGGGGAGAGAGACAGAAACATCAATGATGAGAGAGAACCTTTGATCGGCTGCCTCCTGCACTCCCCCTACTGTGGATCGGGCCTGCAACCCAGGCATAGTGGTTAAAACATTGGCCTGCAGATTGAAGTCATGGAGCAAACCTGATATGCTCTTGACTGGAATCGAACCCAGGACCCTTCAGTTCACAGGCAGACACTTTATTCACTGAGCCAAAGCAGCTAGGGCAAGTTTTTGCATTCTTTACCCTGTTAACATATGGTGCCTTTTACATATATTATATTAAAGGTTAGTCATATTGTCCTAGCCAGTTTTGTTCAGTAGTTAGTGTCAGCCGTGGACTGAAGGGTCTTGGGTTTGATTCCAGTCAAGTGTACATACCTCAGTTGCAGGTTCGATTCCCAGCCCCAGTTGGGGTACCTTCGGAAGACAACCAGTTGATGTTTCCCTCTTGCGTCTATATTTCTCTCTGTGTGTCTTCCCATCCCTTCCATTTTATTTCTAAAAAATTAATGGAAAAAATATCCTCAGGTGAGGATTAACAACAACAAACAAATAAAAAGATTAGCCATATTAAAAGGCAAACCTGCAATGGTATAAATTTTTATTTTATTGTTCAAAAGTTCTTTTAACTATTTTTTAACCATTAAAATTTTCTACTAACAGGTTTCTTGTATTTAGAGTATATTTATTAGTTTGAAGGCAAATATGACTAGATAAGTACTAGTATACACTCTTAAAACAGACCATAAATACTACTTATACTAGGAAGATTAAAAAGAGATGATATGAATATATATATATATATATATATATATATATGTATATATATATCATTGCAAAGTAGGAAAGCATATGCATTAAATTATTTGCCTTAATTCTTCAGCTAAATTGGTGAAAGATTTAGAAAAAGTATCAAAGTGTCAGTTTGCCCCACTCCAGGCAACAAGAACTGAATGCTGTCTTCCTCTGTGCGCTAGACTCTAAGCTCCCCAGGGCAGAGCCTTTTTATTGTTTTGTTAACTGATACGTCCAGCATCTAGAAAAAGGGACTGGTTCATTGTGGGAATTCAAATACTGCTTAATAAATATCTTCCCACTGTGGGAGAAATATAAAGGAAAGATGTCATGGTAATATAGAACTTTCCCTTACAGAATGCAGTTAATTAAACAAGGGTTCAAGAATAGTGATGAGAATACAAATAGAAGTGGGAAGAGTTACAGAATAGAGAACAATACCAGCTCAAGGGACTATTCATTCTCTTGGGTCGCTCTGGCAAAGGAGGCAACCACTGCTGTTGCCAGGCCATGGCCTTTAGAGACTACTTTGTGTTTCCTTGGTGACAGGAATGTTTCCCTCCCTAAGCATAGTTCTGATAGTGACAGAAGAAAGAGGAATGTCCCTAAGAATTCTCATCATTGGATCCTAACAACTTGTATTTACTAATAAAAGCCCACTTTTCTCTATATATATTATACTTGTGCCTCATAACAACATTCCCAGGTAGGGAGTATCAACAACTTACAGATGAGAAAATGAGGTTGGCCAATGACCACAGTGTTGGAACCAGGATCTGAACTAGATCCATCTGGTTGTAAACCCATCATCTTTACCCAGATCACATTCTGTTTAACAGGCTCTGGTGTCCACATATGTAGAGGAAAGATTAGTCATATTGCCTTAGCCAGTTTGGCTCAGTGGTTAAAGCACTGGCCTGCAGATTGGAGGGTCATGGAGCAAATCTGGTATGCTCCAAGAAATAGAAACATATCTCAGAAACCTTCAGTTTAAGGTTTTTAACTCTAAGAAAACGAATTTAACTTAGCCAGTAGTGAACACAGGAATATTCGATAGAGCACTGTCAGAGTTGCAAATGCTACAAAGTATAGAGGGAGCCTGGTTCACACCAGCTTTGAGTATACTTCCCATTGATCATTTCCAAAAGACAGCAATAAAGGGAAGAGACAGGATGCTGACCGTGGTTGGCGCAATGAAGTAATCCTGATGTACTTTAATGAAAACTTGTTACTGACAAAGGTAATCGCAAGGTTTGCTGTTGTTCCTTATGTCTGTCTCAAATGCTGATTGGTTCGTGTGGAATAGTATTAAGAGTCTGAAGCAAACACTCCATGGCTAATTCTGGCCTATGACCATGGCTATGGCCTAATTTCCAATGGCTGTAGAGGAGTGTTTGTTAGAGATAAAGGCTGAAGGGTGCCACCGTTAAACCAGAGAACGTTTCTGTAGAAATCAACTGTAGGGAGAGAAAATTGAATTTGACTTACCAGTTGCCAAATCTCACAGTAAAAATTGTCTTTAAGGTTTATATATTTAAATGAATATAGCCCTAGTAGCTATATACTATGTGCTTAATTTAAACGTCAGCAATTGTTATGTGAAAATCTTCACATAACATACATATATATATATATATATATATATATATATATATATATATATATATGAAGATGTTTACAAAAAGCAAAGACTTATTGTCCCGTTGATATGATTCTAACCCTCCTGCTACATCATTCACCATTTAACATGTTTTGGGGTTTTAAAGGTAATACATCACGTCCTATTAACACACAATTGCCTCTAAGTTCTAATGATGTGTGACCAGAAAGAGCAGGAAGGGGACGGCGTGCGCTCTGGGGGCCGGCCCGGGTCCCCGCTCTGGGGGTTGGCCTCCTAAGACCTCCCCGAGGACTCGGCCCCATGTCCCAGAAGCCGTCCTCCTCGGACTCGGACGCGTGGGAGGCCTGCAGCCGGCTGCTGCGGAGCAAGTCCCTGTACCCGCCCGCCGTGGCCAACCCGTTCCTGCAGCAGACGCACATCAGCGCGTGGCGCTGGGCCTCCCTGCTGCTGCTGGGCACCCTGCTGGTGCCGGTGCGCGTGTCCTGCATGGCCGTGCTCTTCGCCATCCTCTGGCCCGTGACCGTGCTGTCCACCCTGGGCCACTCGGCCCGCCGCGGCCAGCCCGCCCGGAGCTGGCGGAGGAAGCTGGTGCAGCGGCCCCTCCGCTTCCTGTTCCGCGCGTGCTTCCTGGTGCTGGGCTTCCTGGTGAAGGTGAAGGGGAAGAAGGCCAGGTGGAGCGAGGCCCCCATCTTCGTCACCGCCCCGCACTCCTCCTTCTTCGATGCCATCGCCTGCGTGGTGGCCGGGATCCCCTCCGTGGTCTCGGCGAGCCAGAACGCCCGCATCCCGATAGCGGGGAAGTTCCTGCTGAGCACCCAGCCGGTGCTGGTGACTCGGGAGGACCCCAACTCCAGGAAGACCACCCGGGACGAGATCCTGAAGCGCGTGATCGCCCAGCCCAAGTGGCCGCAGATCATGATTTTCCCGGAGGGCGTGTGCACCAACCGCACGTGTCTGGTCACTTTTAAGCTGGGGGCCTTCTCGCCGGGGGTCCCCGTGCAGCCCGTGCTGCTCCGGTACCCCAACAGCCTGGACACGGTGACCTGGACCTGGCAGGGCTTCACGGCCTTCCAGCTGTGCATGCTGACCCTGAGCCAGCTCTTCACCAGGGTGGAAGTCGAGTTCATGCCCGTGTACACCCCGAGCGACCAGGAGAAGAAGGACCCCATCCTCTTTGCCAACGCGGTGAGGGTCAACATGGCCAACGCCCTGGGCGTGCCCGTGACAGACCACACCTTCGAGGACTGCAAGCTGATGATCAGCGCAGGCCACCTGCAGCTGCCCATGGAAGCGGGCTTGGTGGAATTCACCAAAATCAGCCGGAAGCTGAAGTTAGACTGGGATAGCATTCACCAGCATCTGGACGAGTACGCTGCCATCGCGGTTGCCTCCAAAGGAGGGAAGATAGGGATCGAAGAGTTCGCAAGTTACCTGAAACTCCCCATCTCAGAGCCCTTCCGACAACTCTTCGCCCTTTTCGACAGGAACAACGACGGCAGCATAGACTTCAGGGAGTACGTGGTAGGGCTGGCTGTCCTGTGCAATCCTGCCAACACGGACAAGATCCTGCGGATGTCATTCAAGCTTTTTGATATGGACGAGGATGGTTACATAACGCAATCGGAGCTCGCCGGTATACTTCAGGCAGCTTTCGGGGTGACCGACCTGGATGTTTCCGATCTCTTTCAGGGAATAGCGAGACGGAACTCAGAGTACATTTCATTCAGGAGCTTTAGGAAATTTGCTTTGAAGCACCCAATATATGCCAATCTATTTAAGTCATATTTAGAACTCCAGGCAGCCTATATATATACATTACCACGAGAACAAGTTTAATCACTGTATCGAAAGGTTAAAGTCAGCCCTGAAAATGGTGCAAGTACCTTCCAAGTAGACGCTATGAAATAAAAATATTCCTTTGCGGAAGAACACAATTGTGTTTACTCGAAGTTGCCTAGGCACTTAATTGTGATATTTAAAATGTACTTAAGGCATGTATATTTCAATTAGAGTTTATAGCATCTATTTTTTTCTTTTCTTTTTTTAAGGTAGAATTGCCCCCTATAGCAGCAGTATTAATAAATATCTCATTTCCTTGATTTAACATAATTTCAGGGACAAAGGAAAAAGATCCTTAAATGTATACTTCTATTATAAAACAATTGTTGACACCTGGTTGTTGTTTTTTTTGTTGTTGTTTTTAAAGAATTTCTTTTTTAAATATATTTTTCATTTATTTCTGAGAAGAAGGGAGAGAGAGAGAAACATCAATGATGAGAGAGCATCAGTGATGGGTTGCCTCCTGCACACCCCACAATGGGGATTGAACCCACAACGTGGGCATGTGCGCTTGACTGGTATCAAATCTGGGGACCTTCAGTTTGCAGGCTGATGCTCTATCTATCCATTGAGCCAAACCAGCTAGGACTGTTGATATCTGGTTTTAAAGATATGTTACAATTATTTTAGATATTTGAAAGATGAGAAAATGTGTACTTT